CTGTTTCGTTTATAAAAAAAAATCTGAATGTCTTATAGTCTATACTTAGAAGATTCATAACTCAACAAGAACATTACCTACAAATTACCCACGTACGTGACAATATCATAGAAAACAAGAACACTAGCAAATCTCCAAAGAACATATTCCCGAAAAAACTTTTCTTGGTACGTTTCAATTCAATTTTTTCAGTTATTTGTACCTAGATACACATCAAGCTAAGCAAACCAGTATAAACTGGCCGCAGAATGTGCGACAAGATCATACAAAGCAAGATCATGGTAAAATGGTTCTGCATAGGTCGATGTCGTCGTGTGGAGCAGGTCACCATCACCTAGTATAAATAGTGAATGCCAAGGGTCAGTCACGAATGGGAACCCTTCCTACCTGAAACCGATTGATCTTTCAACTTTGTTACTGCGCTAAATTGAATATTCTTAGATTCCTTCGCCTTGGATAATTGAGTTAAAATATTAATTGAAAATAAGAATATTGTTTTAAGCCAAAGGTTGTTTGTAATCGTGTAGGTGTTTGTGTATTTGTTTGGTACTTAATGACGTCAAAATGGCTAAAGGGATCGAGATGAAATTTAGAATAACGGTAGATTCTTCGATAGGTCTATATAATTTATAAGCTACATTTTATTCCGTGTGAACGCGGGCGAAGCCGCTTGCTGTTAGCTGCTAGTTGTAGTATAATTGCAGAGACCAGCATCCTCCACACAGCACAGCCGTCGCGAAGGACACTCCGGGCGTCGGGGATCGCGAGACGATCTCCGGCCACCGTAAGCACGGGCCTACAGATGCCGAGCATGGGCAGCTCACCACCCGACTAGAACCAGACCTGAGCATACGGCGCGTTGTGTTCCACACGCACCTCAAAGAGCCATCAGACCACCACAGATGGGGCCCAATAGGGTTGATGCCGATACGGAACCGTGGAGAACTTAATGGATTACCGGGGCTTCGGCTCGAAATGCAGGAGTAGAAACATGGTAGTATTTAGTCAGTAAGAGTCTGACACTATAGGCGGGAGAAGTCATTCGGTGATTTCCCACCTTAAAAAAAAGTTGTTGCATAATTATGGGTCTATTCAATCATGATAATTGTATTTTTTTATTCAGAAATACTTAAATAGTATCCAGTGCTTATAAAGAGACTTACCTCGTATTACTGCTTTAATTCTATTTCACTGCGAAATGGATGTACTGTAAATATACCTTCCCAAGTAAAACTGCGCATAAATAACACTGGTTCTTAATAAAACTATTTTTAAATAAATATAAATGTTACGAAAGCCATTACTTTCTTTTTATAACCTGTATTTATTTATAACTAAGTCCATACCTTGCCAGTAAGACATCATAATTAAACACCCACATACGCGTGGGTACGCCATGGAAGTGAAATTAAATTGTATCATAATGTAAGAAAATATTATTATAGAACAGATACCAGCATATCAAACTACCCATATTTGACTATCTACACATTTCATTTTCAACTCTATTGCCAAATCACAAAGTTCAAAATTGGTCAAGGAAGACAGATTGGTGTAGGTTCCGTTTGGTAAGTCTGCGTTATAAAAATACTCCTGTTTATGTTGATAAAGCGTATTACATAGCCATAGTAGAATGTAATGCTTCATTAGATATTTTTAAGCCTTTGACTGCCGACAGAAAACTGTTGAGCATAAATCCTCCGCTATTGTGGCCCATACCTTGTCCCCCATGGCGTTCAAGGTGTTAAATATCTTAAAATACTGTGAGATTTCTTAGAAATTTCATTAATAGATTCTCTCTAAGAAATGAGACTTTGGTGTTGGTGTATTTTAATCAGGATATTTATATATGAAGTTTTGTTTCTGCTTCTGTAATTTTCTGCTTATTTTTCCAGTTATCAATGGACACCCATTGATAACTGGAAAAATAGTCCGATTCTATTTTTGTTCTGATTTTATGAATATAACTATGTTATCTTATTCTTCCACCTACGTACGTGAAAATAATTAATGCGTACTCCGGTACGTATTCGGGAATACGTACTTAGGTATATTATCCCTAAAAGAAATAAAAAAGATCCAATGTCAGGTTTCATGAACTTCAAGAACACTCGATACAAAAAATCTTATGTACGCAGATATAATAATAACATTAAAATACTGCCTTAATATTTCATTCATTATTCAAGTTGGTATAATTAAAACAGCTGCGAGCTATTCTCGTATCAATTCAATTTCGGCACCAATTAGTTTCGAAATTGAAACCAAACTTTACAGATTATTGCGGCGACAAAACCTTCATCAAATCTTCGGATTGACCTCTGAGGTGTTATAATCGAACCTGAATTTATTATCTTCAAAGCTTTTGTAAATGAATCTGGAATATCGCAATGAATGAGCGTGTTGTTATAAGTGTAGCCTTCCAGGTCCACCACTGATGGGGCCCAACAGGGCTGACAACGATACGGAGCGCGCCGCGGAGAACCCAGCGGGTTACCGGGGCTCCGGTTCGAAGTGCAGGAGTAGGGGTGGGGTGGTTTTTAGTCAGTAAGAGTCTGACATTCCCTCCCGCCTTACCCAGGCGGGAGCAGTCATTCGATGATTTTCTGCCCTTAATAAAAAACCTTTCAGGTAGTAATGATGGTACCTCACTTTTTGGTAATTAAAGCTCCTATATGTATTTGAAAACAAAGAAAACATGTTACATACACCTTAAAATTAACTACAATTAAAAAATTAAAACAATAAATATAAAGGTACGAAAAGGAACTTCAAAACCTGAATAAGGCGTCAAAGTATTTATTTTATTTTTGTATGTTTGAGACATGTTCACGCCTAAACTCCTAAGTCTATTTTGATTGATACCTTACGTACGGAGATAAATGTGGCCCAGGAGACGATTACTTGTTTACGGAAATAAAAGAAAGATAAGCAATGAAAAGGGTGAATTTATTTATAAATTCTATTTAGTGGTTGAAAGTCGTAAAACATTGGGTTTGTATAGAAGAAATATTCTCAATACGTTTATATGATTTACGTAAGAAGGCTAATAAACATTATTCATGACACAATGTACCTATCCAAAGAGTTTCCGCTAAGTACTACCGATTCCTAAACAGAGGAGACTCATAGTCCAGTAGTGAGGCTCTCAAGGACTATTAGTTGATGATAAAGGTACCAATGAGTCCCAAGTTCTCGATTTGAGCAATGAGGAGAAAATGCGTTGTAATCACAACATACCAATGAGTAAAGCCAGGGCCGTCTACGCTGGGGCCCTTGTAGGCACACATTATAATTCGGGGCCCGTTTGGAATGTTTCTTGTTTAACGTTTCTCCACAGTAGGCTTTTCTCTTGTATCGTGTGTGGGTTTACAAACATACAAGTTCACATGCACATGGCACCCAGACCCGAAACAACAATTTGTGGAGCACACAAACATCGAATCCGTGTTTTTCCGTCGTAGAAATTGCCGGTCTTTCGGAATCCCCTGAAAATGGGGGCCCTGAGCTCCGGGCCCATGTGCCCTTACGGAAAAGATGGTACTGAGTAAAGCCACGACCACAAACTAGTGTTATACAGAAACACAAGTTACAATAATATTCATAACAGCATTAATAAGATCATAAGTTTCAGTCTAACCAGATTAATATTACTTGGGTTATGTACTTAACCCGGTTGGAAGCTTGTGAACTGAACATATTTGCTCCGAGTTTACTAAATGTAAACGTAAACGTTTCTAGCAAACTTCAAGCAAAACATTTCACTTATGATATTGTTTTCTTTGCATTGTAATTATCTTTTACGATATTTTGTCTGTAACGATTCATGAGACCTTTAAATATTTTTTTTTATGGTATAAGCCGGTAAACGACCAGACGGATCACCTGATGGTAAGCAATCGGCGTCGCCCATGGACACCTGGAACACCAGAGGCGTTACAAGTGCGTCACCGGCTTTTTGGGGATTAGGAGTTTGAGGATCGTTGGGGATTCAGGGATTGGGGAGATTGGGGAAGGGGAAGGTAATTGGGCCTCCGGTAACCTCACTCACACGACGAAACACAACGCAAGCGTTGCTTCACGTCGGTTTTCTGTGAGGCCGTGGTATCACTCTGGTCGAGCCGGCCCATTCGTGCCGAAGCATGTCTCTCCCACACACACAAAAATAATTATTTTATATACTACGATTAAGATACCGACTTCAATCCTTTCTTCGAAGTCGGTTAAATTATATACTAAAAACTTCTCCTAAGTATAACAAACACTTTTCTAAAAACCCCATCGAAAGCAGTTCAGCCAATCACGAGATAATTGCGCACAAATATACATACATACAAACATACAAGTCATACTAAAAACCTCCTTTTTATGAAGTTGATTAAAAATTAATCTAATTAGAAAAGTAACATTCAAACAGCTACAAAGAAACTATAGTCACCAAACCATACAACTCCTAGGTGCAACACATGATGCAATGGAACTTGAGAAGATATTTCAAGAGTGTGAGAGCCATGCTACACCACGGCCTCACGGAAAACCATAGTGAAACAACACTTGCATTGTGTTTCGTCGTGTGAGTGAGGTTACCGAAGGCCCAGTTACCCCCCTCTCCAATCTCCCCAATCCCCGAATCCCCGATAATTCTTAAATTCGTAATCCCCAAAAGGCCGGTAGCGCACTTGGAACACCTCTAATGATTCGGATGTTCTCGAGCGGCGGCGATTGCTTACCATCAGGTGATCCGTCAGCTCGTTTACAGGTTTATTCCATAAAAAATCTTGAGAATATTAACAGCGTTTATGATTTTCTTCTCTTCAGAAACTTCGCGTATTTGTATCTTATCGAATAAAGCCGATTGCTTTGCGTTATCTACTAATTATGGACTTTCCTAATATGAGTAAGAATACATTTAAATTGTGAACTTTATAGAGCTATCTAAAAACTGTATATTTCTAGAATATTATGTTTTAAATTAAATTTTAGTTATTATTTCTGTTGTGATTATAAAGACGTAGGGTAATATCAAATGTTTTTAGTTGCAAATTAAATCAGTGGCACAACGCACGTCTTTCAATTTAAAATCCCTCTAAACGAAAGTAGACCTTAACACAACCATCATATGGTCGCATTCGAGCCGAACGTCATAACTACGGAGCAGTAAACATATCACCGGTGCCGTCGAACAAAAGAACCACATTCCAGCGATAAGGAGATTTTATAAAAACTACTTCGTTTTATATGGATTATGTTTTTCAATGCAACAAAGTAACTAACGTCATTACGAAATAACATCAAGTCATACGAACAGTTTGTTGAAGCCTAGTTAAAAGTGAAATTTAGTCAAGAAACCATGAATACTACTAAAGAACAACAACAATATCTATCTATACTGGAGGATGGTGCTAATTTATTTAGAAAAACTCAAGCAAACTTGAAAAAGTGTCCAAAAGGGAGATTGACGAAAGGTTACATAGAAGCACGTGTTAAAATTATTGACGAGTATTGGATGTCATTCAAGAACGCTCATGATGGATTAATTAAAGTGACACCTAAAGAACAAAAGGGAATTTTACCATACTTTCTCAATGAAGAATTCTTTATATACGAAGAATTATATAGCTCATTACAAGGTGATTTGAAGGATATGCTTATATCGTTGTCGCAAGCGACCGCGATGGATTCGAGGAATTCAAGTGTCAACATGACTACAGCGCATAATATAGTGCATTTACCAAAAATTCAATTACCTAAATTTAATGGAAATTATGAAGGATGGCCAACTTTCAAGGATTTATTTCTTTCTTTGGTGCACGAAAATAATGACCTCAGTGATGTACAGAGATTGCATTATTTAAAAACCAGTTTGAGTGGAGAAGCAGAGGTGTTGTTGACACATATACAAGTGACATCCAGTAATTACGCGACTGCATGGAATATTTTGAATAAGAGGTATGGTAACAGACGCATTATATTGAATTGTATTATGAAACGGTTATTCAACCAACGTAAAATGGCTTTGCAGTCAGCAACCCAGTTAAAAGGCTTATTAGACACTACTACAGAATGTCTTAATAACTTAAACAATTTAAAAGTAAACACCGACTCTTGGGATCATGTAATTATATTTCTACTCGTTCAGAAGTTTGACCCAGAGATACACAAAGACTGGGAAGAATATGCCTACAAGGAAGACAGTGAAGTATTACCTACCTGGAATGATATAAAAAACTTCATGGAGTCTCAGTTCCGCACCCTGGAATTAGTAATCGGCATTTCTGCTAGCAATCATTTAAAAGAAAAACAAGTGAAAGAACGTTGTCACCATGCTGCCTCACCAACTATAGAGAAATCATGTATGTTGTGTAAAGAAAACCACACGTTGTGTCACTGCAAGAAATTTATTGATATGAAAATAAGTGAGAGAACTGAATACGTAAAGAACAAACATCTATGTTTTAACTGTCTAGGAATTGGACACTCGGTGAAGAAATGTAGACTACCGATATCTTGTCAGAAATGTCATCGACGTCATCACTCTCTATTACATGAGTCTAAGAACACAGAACCAACAGTTATACCGAGCACTTCACAACCGTTGGCGTCACAGCATGTAGTAGAAGATAGAGAAACAGTTCAAGTGAACACAATGATCGCGTCGCATCATACAACTAGACGGGGAACGGCGCTACTAGCAACTGCGATAGTGAACGCAACCAATAGAGGAGGCCATGTCATTTCACTACGCGCACTGATAGACCAGGGCTCTCAAGCGACATTCATAAGCGAAAAGGCGACTCAACTATTGAAGCTAAAGCGACAACCATTCAAAGGAAGTGTCGTAGGAGTGGGATCTACGAGAACAGAGATCAAACACGTGGTACAGCTTAATATAAGATCACAGTGGAAGCATAACTATAGTTTACCAATCCAAGCCTACGTGATGTCGAAACAACTGACCACTAAGATACCCACTAAAACAATTACCAAACAACCATGGCCTCACATTGACGGGCTTAACTTGGCTGATCCCAGTTATTTAAAACCTGGGTCCGTAGACTTGCTAATAGGAGTTAAGGAATATGCACAGATTATACAGCCAGACTTAATAAAGGGTCCCCCAGGCACACCAATTGCACAAAAAACCAACCTGGGTTGGATTATCTTCGGGGATGTTTATGAAAAACCACAAAACGATACCTACCTTGTAATGCATCACCAAATTGATGTCGATGAAATTTTGAAATCCATGTGGGAAATAGATATAGTCAAAGATAGACACTTTACAAAAGAAGAAAAGATGTGTGAATATATTTACGATAAAACAACAACTAGAAATGAGGAAGGAAGGTACATAGTTAAATTACCTTTCAAAATATACAGTCCACAACTAAATGAAATGAGCACTATTACAAAATTACGAACACCTGAAGGGAACACAAGGGAAATAGCAAAACAAAGATTCTTGCAGCTTGAACGGAAGTTTAAAAAGTCATCAGATCTGAAAAGAGAATACACCAAGGTTATAAATGATTACATAGAACAAGGTCACATGGAGAAGATACCTGAAATAGAAACGGAAGTAAAATCAGTCTACTTACCTCACCACGCTATAGTCCGTACTGACAAGGAGACTTCTCGAACTCGCGTTGTTTTCGATGCCTCCTGTAAGGGTACAAACAATGTTTCACTGAATGAAGAATTGTTGATTGGCCCGCAACTGCAAGACGATTTGCGAAGCCTGCTCATTAAATGGAGGATGAAGCGTGTCGGCTTCATGGCCGATATCAAACAAATGTATCGCCAAATACTTGTGAGTCATGAGGACGCAGACTTCCAGCGAGTTATTTGGAGACCTAATGAAGATGATGAGTTAGGTGAATACCGTTTGCTAAGAGTCACATTCGGTACAGCATCAGCACCATATTTAGCTGTCAGAACTCTTCACCAAACAGCTGATGATGAAGGAAGAGATCAACCACTTGCTGTACAATCCATCAAAGAGAACTTTTACATGGATGACTGGCTTGATGGAGCTGATGATACACAAACTGCTATTGATATGGCTAAAACTGTCACAAAAATACTACAAAGAGGCGGTTTCCAACTTACCAAATGGTCGTCAAATGATATTGAATTCCTAGAATCTATAGATAAAGCAAAAAGATCAAATAACGCACATATAGACATGAATCTTGATGGAACAATTAAGGCATTAGGTATTGTCTGGAATCTAAAAACAGACACATTTCAATACAATCTAACTTTACCAGAAGCTGAAAATTATAATGTAACAAAGCGAGCAATATTATCAGACATACAAAGACTTTTTGATCCACTTGGTTGGATTGCACCAAGTACAGTAATGGCAAAAATACTGTTACAGAAACTGTGGCTAGAAAAGGTCAATTGGGATCAGAATGTTAGTAAAACATTACGTGAAGAATGGAATAA